GCCTTGGTTCCGGCTCTGTCTCGTGGCGGTCTACTCGCTCGTCTTCAGTTCTCGGCTCCAGTTGTGAGGCTGAGATCTACGCCGGGGCCATGGCTGCACAGGAGCTTTGCTGGCTCACCTACCTGCTGACTGACCTTGGAGAGCCGCCTCGTTCTTTTCCAGTGCTGTACGTAGACAACAAGGCCATGCTGGCCTTGTGTCGAGAGCAGCGCTTGGAGCACAGAACGAAGCACATTGCTCTCCGCTACTTCCTTGCTCGTGAGCTGCAGCAGCGTGGTCAGTTGCGACTGGCGTACGTGGCCTCTGAGGCCAACACTGCTGATGTGTTCACCAAGGCACTCGCTCCTTGTGACCATCAGCGCTTTTGCACCCAGCTGGGTCTTGTACCTGTCTTGCCTCACTTGCTCTCCTCTTGACTCCACTTGTACTGTGACATATATATATACCTGCTCTTGCTTGTCTAGTAATAAATATATGTCTGTACTCCTGCATGTGAACTGGCCTCTGGCCCTGCTCTTGTGCTCGGACTGTGTGGTGACTTTGTGATCCACCCTGAGCTTGCTTTGCTTTGCTTGACTGGTCTTGTGACCCCTTGTTCTCCCCCACTTTGCCTATGGGGGTGTGTCAGAACATTATAGCTGATACATGTTTGTAGGCTGTAGTGGGGTAGCACATATGGGGTACAGATTCCTAGTGTTTGTTATTTGTACCAATTTCTGACTTAGTCATTTCATTCCTCTTCTCATTGTTTCACAGGACAGACCATAAATCACTGCAGTACCTTCGCGCACAGCCACACCTCAAGCCACGACAAATTCGTTGGCTCGATTTCCTCGAGTCCAACTTTCAATACACGGTCACTTACAAAAAGGGAGCCTCGAACATCGCCGACGCACTGACCCGCCCCACTGCCCAGATCCACGCAATACTACTCGCCCAGACAAGCCCGCTACTGACAGGCCTATTCACCCACGGGTTCCAGACGGATCCATTCTTCATAGGAGGAAATTCGCAGCAGTTCGCAGCAGCAAAGGGAGTCTATTACGTAAAAACCGGGACTGACCGCATTTGGGTACCTTGGTATACACTGCTACGGGAATTACTGTTACAGGAGGCACACGACGGAGTTACCTCGGGGCATTTCGGAGTAGAAAAAACACAGCAGCAGCTGCAGCGGTATTATTACTGGCCCGAAATGTTGACCGACGTACAACGACACGTGGCATCGTGTCCCGCTTGTCAGCTCATGAAATCATCACGACAGCGGTCGGCGAGACAGTTGCAGCCGATACCACCCCCAGAGCGTGCTTGGCAGCAGGTGACGATGGACTTCGTCACGGGGTTACCAGCCGGGGCGTGTGGGAACGACGCGATCCTAGTCGTCGTCGATCGACTGACAAAAATGGCACATTTCGCAGCCTGCAAAAAATCAATCACACCCAAAGAAACAGCACGCCTCTTCATCTCCACCGTCGTTCGACTGCACGGGATACCAGCCGCGATCATCAGCGACCGCGACACGAAATTCACCAGCAACTTTTGGCGGAACCTGTGGCAGCAGTTCGGCACGCGACTACAGTTCAGTTCATCATACCACCCCTAAACCGACGGACAGACAGAACGGACCAATCATACCATGGAACAGCTCATCAGGGCCACGTGTGACGACCCGACCACGTGGGAACAGCAACTGCCACTAATCGAATTCGCGTACTACAATTCGCCCTCCGCCACGACCCAACAGTCACCATTTTACTTAAACTACGGAGAAGACCCGACAGTACCCATGACCCCGAATCCCGATAACCCAGTACCACGAGCACAACAGTTTGCCGAAATATTACAAGCAGCACGGACCCGGACAGCAGACGCAATAAAAAACCGAACATCATCTAAACGCAACGCCGACCGCCATCGCAGACCTGTCACTTACCAGCCCGACGACTTAGTTTTACTTGACATTCAGAACCTCCGACTGCCCATCACCCCGAAACTCCGCCCCCGATACTGCGGGCCATTTCGCATAAGCCACATGCTTACACCCGTCACCGCCCACCTCCTCCTCCCTGCTGACTGGTACGTGAGCCCCTCATTCCACGTCAGCCTACTTTGCCCTTACGTCCCGTCCACGAGCCAACTGCCACGCAATCGCCCAGCCAGCATGACAAGACCACCAACCAAACTAATCATCACCGAGTTCGCGACCCTCGAGGAGCCCGAAGGATCGAGTTCTTACTCCGATGGAAGGACCGTACACCCACCGAAGACAATTGGGTTCCCCTGGACAGAATCGAAAACCACCCCTACGCAGCCAAAATTTCAGGGATGTACACGCACTTTTCGTAAGGAGGACCTCCTTAGGGGGGGGGGGTAGTTTTGTTGGAAACAATCGGTCCTAAGCGCCTCTGTCGTGTCGAAACACTAAGGCATAAGCGAAGCAAAGCATATCGAGGCACCAGCGAGTCAACCCTCGGAGGTTGAAGTAACTGCTGGAGGTTACGCGAAAGTCAAAGGTCAGCGACCTTTGACCTGACAAGTACAGCGCGACAGCAAGGACACACAACTGACTCGCTATAGAGCAGTTGCCCGAGTCGTCACTGTATCGAACCGCAACAGCAACAAGTAAAACAGTTACAACCGTATCTCTTCGTATTCCTTGTACTCTTATATAATCTTGTATCTCTTTGTTTTAATCAACTTACTTTGCCCTCACATACTAGCACAAGGTGGTTCACAACTCCTTATTAACGCTTCCGCTACTACACCAACTCTACCCAGAGTTCACCCCTGCAAAGATCCTAAGGGCTTTTTTAGCCCAACATGGTATGAGAGCTATCAGGGGGAATTCAACTTCTATACCAACAGTATCAATCAGCATGGCTACACAAAAAGAAAGGAGCAACTCCAACGGCTCCCAAGGAACTACTCCTACTCCACCTCCTGCCTCTGGTCTATAGACAGAGGAGGGCACGGCAACAAGACCGAGAGCAACATCTACCGAGACTCCCGCGAATCAACCTGCAGACTTCGACCAGAGCATGATGGAGAAGTTTTTCTCCTTCATGTCCTTCTACGAGCAACACCAGCAATCGGCGCCTGCGCAGTCACACAACAGCAACAACAACGGAGCAACACCCATGAGTCTCGACGGCTCATCATATGCACGAGGAAATCAACAACAGCAGCTTACCTTTGCTCCGTACGAGAGCGGGTCCATCAGCTTGATGCCACACCCACAGCCCTCACTGTGAAAGGAGTGAACAGGAATGAGAATGACTAAGTCAGAGTTGGGTACAAATACAACCCTAGAAAGCTGTACCCCATATGTGCTACCCCACTATAGCCTACAAACATGCATCAGCTATAATACTCTGACACACCCCCATAGGCTAAGTGGGGGAGAACAAGGGGTCACAAGACCAGTCAAGCAAAGCAAAGCAAAGCAAGCTCAGGGTGGATCACAAAGTCACCACACAGTCCGAGCACAAGAGCAGGGCCAGAGGCCAGTTCACATGCAGGAGTACAGACATATATATAAAACTAGACAAGCAAGAGCAGGTATATATATATGTCACAGTACAAGTGGAGTCAAGAGGAGAGCAAGTGAGGCAAGACAGGTACAAGACCCAGCTGGGTGCAAAAGCGCTGATGGTCACAAGGCGCGAGTGCCTTGGTGAACACATCAGCAGTGTTGGCCTCAGAGGCCACGTACGCCAGTCGCAACTGACCACGCTGCTGCAGCTCACGAGCAAGGAAGTAGCGGAGAGCAATGTGCTTCGTTCTGTGCTCCAAGCGCTGCTCTCGACACAAGGCCAGCATGGCCTTGTTGTCTACGTACAGCACTGGAAAAGAACGAGGCGGCTCTCCAAGGTCAGTCAGCAGGTAGGTGAGCCAGCAAAGCTCCTGTGCAGCCATGGCCCCGGCGTAGATCTCAGCCTCACAACTGGAGCCGAGAACTGAAGACGAGCGAGTAGACCGCCACGAGACAGAGCCGGAACCAAGGCTGAAGGTGTAACCCTGTGACGACCGCTGCGTAGCCTGGTCGTCAGCCCAAGAAGCGTCCGCGTGGCCGGTAAGGACCACTGGACTCCGCCCTCCAAGCACTAGCCCCATGCCCGACGTACTGCACAGGTAGCGCAATACCCTCTTCGCTGCAGCCATGTGCTCCGGTCTATGTCTCCCAGGAGCAACATAGCGTGCAAGAATGCTCAGAGGGTATGCAAGGTCAGGTCGTGTGCAGGTCATCAGGTACATGAGGCAGCCAACAAGCTCTGCATATGGACCAGTCGACTCTACGGACTCATCCGAAGGCAGAGCTGAGAGTGAGTGGCGAGTAGGCAGAGGAGTGGCCTGAGGCGAGGAGTACGTGAAGCCGAAGCGCTGAAGGACCTGCTGCACCATGTGTGACTGAGTCAAGGTAATGGTGCGGCGTGCTCTGTCTCGAGTGATCTGCAAGCCAAGGTAGCTGCGCAGTTCACCCAGGTCTGTGCACGTGTGTCTCTTCAGCAGCTCGGACTTCACGTAGGCGAGTCCAGCAGTGTCCGCTGTGGCAAAGACCAAGTCGTCGACGTACACGAGGATGTAGAACGGCGGCAGGGAAGTGTCGGTGCGAAGAAACAGCGACGGGTCAGCAGTAGAAGGAGCAAACCCAAGAGCCGCAAGCGTAGTCCTCAGTGTGTCGTGCCACTCACGCGGTGCCTGGCGGAGACCGTAGACTGGCCGTCGGAGGCTCCACTGGGTGCCAGGAGGGAAAGTCCCAGTGAAGCCAGGTGGACGGCGAAGCCAGATCTCCTCGTGCAGGCTACCCTGCAAGAACGCAGTGCTGAAGTCGAGAGAGTGAAGCTCGTAGTCGCGCTGAGCGGCTATGTGCAGCAGCACCCGAAGAGTAGTCATCTTCGGGGTGGGAGAGAAGGTCTGAAAGTAGTCAACTCCCTGCCGCTGACTGAAGCCACGAGCAACGTACCGTGCCTTGAAGACAGGTGGAGAGCCCGGCGGCCGCTTCACCCTGAAGATCCACATGCCACTGACGATGTTCGCCCCAGGAGGGGGAACTGCGTCAACGTAGGTGCCTGTGGACTTCCAAGAAGCCATCTCTGCATCCATAGGTGCCTGCCACTGAGAGGAGTAGGGACCCTCTACGGCCTTCGCGTAAGAACGCGGAGTCGGGATGTCTAGTGCATCCGGGTCTCCCTCAGGGGCAAGCAGTACAGACGCGAGATGAGGTGAAGCAGCCGCTAGACACTGTAACTCCTCCTGCCTGTCCTCTAGGACGTCCGTGCCAAGAGCACAGACGCACTGGCACCTAGAGCAGCAGCCTCACAAGCACCTAGCGCAGCAGTACCAATGCCCGGGTCGGGCTGGAAAACACCGGTAACCCTCATTCTCCTCAGTATAATCCACAGCATACATAGCAGCAAGGATAGCATCAAAATCAAGATCAAAGATCGCTACACCAGCCCTTAGAAGCTCATCCCAGCGAGGGATCTCACTAGCCCCAGGGAACTGCCGACGCCAAGCGTCCGTCAGGCGGCCAAAGCAGCGCTGGGTGGCGTGGGCACCCCCACACTGCTCACCCGCGCGGTCGCCGGAACGAAGAACGTAGGTGCAGGGACCAGTACCCCCACCCCTCTGACGCCCAGCGTACCACTCACAAAGCTGCTGAGGCGGAGGGATGTCCCGCGAGCGCTGCTGCTGCTGCCGGTGCGAGCGCTGGCCACCACCACCGCCGCTACGCTGCTGGGTACCACCTCGACCAGCTCCACCTCCTCCACCACCACCGCCTCCTCCGCTGCCGCCTCCACCGCCTCCACCTCCGCCGCCTCCACCTCCGCTGCTGCCTCCACCACCACCGCTGGCACCACCACCACCGTCTGCGCCGCTGCTGCCACCACCACCACCACCCCCGCCACTAGTCCCGCCGCCACCCCCACTCCCTCCGCCGCCATCGCCGCCACCGCCACCGCCCCCTCCAGCTCCACCCGCGCCCTTGCCTCCCTTGCCCTTGCTAGAGCGACGTCTCCCACTAGGGGTAGACGCCGCGCCGACCGACTCAAGACCAAGCAGGTCGGCAGCAGCAGCAGAGGCAACAGAGGGCAGCAAAGGGGAAGGAGAGCACCCCTCAAAGATGGGGGTGCGAGGGTCACCACGAGAAGCACCTACAGCGACTATGCTCTTCTCCGCTGCGAGGAGGGCCTTCTCGAGGAGGTCGACGGTGAGGGTGGTGGGGCAGACTGCGAGAAAGTGGTCCCTGACGACGCGAAGGGAGTCAGGGAGGCGCGCGACTACGTAGTAGAGAGCGATGTACATGGGGGGTGGGTTCTTAGCGCAGAACTCAGCAGGAAGGGCGGCGCGGTAGCGAGTGTCACTAGTGCGGAGGTGCGTAATGAGGTCAGCACCAGTGGGAAAGGCAGAGAGGTCAGGAAAGAGGTAGGGAAGCATGAGACGGCTCAGTGCAGAGCTGCACGACCTGCCCTGCCTGGTGAGCACAGTCCCACTGACACTGCGAGCTCTTTCCCTACTGCTTGCACTGCGTCGCTGTCGTCGCCATGGCTACCCCTAGTGTCCTAGCTTTTGACGCTGAGGGTCGCGCCATTGATTTTGAGGTCTGGTTAGACGACCTACAGCTGTTCTTACAGTGCGACAAGGCTGATGACCTTTCTCTCTTTGACCTCACCTCTTGCGCCTCTCCTGCTCCTGCTGCTGATGCTGATCCAACTGTCCGCTCTCAGTGGGCCACCCGCGATGCTGCTGCACGTCTTGCTGTGCGTCGCCACCTCCCTACCTCTGAGCGTGCGCACTTTAGTCAGTACAAGAGTGCTCAGACCTTGTACGACGCTGTAGTTGCGCGCTACTCCTCCCCTGCCACTGCTGCTCTGATACCATGTGAAAGGAGTGAACAGGAATGAGAATGACTAAGTCAGAGTTGGGTACAAATACAACCCTAGAAAGCTGTACCCCATATGTGCTACCCCACTATAGCCTACAAACATGCATCAGCTATAATACTCTGACACTCACCTGGACAAGAAAAACCACTGGACGCATTGCAAGTTCAGTCGCAGCTCGCTCACGTTCTGAAGATGCAGACGTCAAGACCCTTCGATAGAAAGGACTTCTTCACCTGGTCGTTCGAGTTCGAGCTAATGATGGAAGGCGCGCAGATACTCGGGTTCTTCGACGGGTCTCTACCTTACCCAACAAACGGCACACAGTACGAGAAGCAGCAGTACACCTATCAGTCAATGATGGCGTATAGGATCCTACTGAGGAACATCACCCCGACTCAACAGCAGAACATAAGGACTTACCGAGGTTACGGCAAGTCCGCGGAGCTCGCGTACAACCACCTGAAGAGCCTGTATCAAGCAACAGACAGCGTAAGTCAAAGTCGGTTAATGGCGCAGCTGACAACGGTTGAAATGAAACCAGGGGAGAAAGGAATGGCGTATATCAGTCGATGTCGCGAGTTGCGCGACAAGCTTCTTCGATGCGGAGGGTCGATTTCTGAAGACGCCTTCGTGAGAGTCATCATCGGCGGCCTCGGTCCTCAATGGCGCGCCACAAAGGCGATCCTCCGAGCTTACGGAAGAATCTCCGAAGCAGCGCTCTGCGTCGAAATCCACGCCGAGCAGCAAGACATGGACCTGCAAGAAGATCGACACAGAAAGAAGACATCAGCACCGGAATTCGCGTTCCACACCCAGCGACGCTACAACAACAACAACAACCGACAGCAACAACCGAAGCCACTACCTCCGTTCTGCCACATTTGCAAAACTTCAGGACACCCGCGTACACACTGCCCGAATCGTCAACAGTCAACAACCCCACAACGGCAACTTCGACCTTCAAGCAACCAAATCGCCTCAACGCAAGTAAATCCCACGACTCAGATTCAAGCTTCAACGATCTCAACAGGACAATCTGCACAAGGAGCAAGAAACATCGTCAGCTGCATGGCAAAGCTGACAGACTCCCGCATCACCGAGTCACCACCACACTACTCACCGGAAGAACAACTCGACGAAACCACACCCCGCCGCGAGTCACTTCAACCGAACCCGACATACGCCGCCATCGCCCAAAGCGAACCATTCGGAAGGGACACATGGTTCTTGGACAGTTGCTGCGGACAGCACATGTGCTCCTCGGGACGCTTCGTTCAACGAGAACACCAACTTCAATGCGAATTTGTCATCACAGTCGCCAACAATCAGAACCTACGAACACGACGACAAGGCGTAGTTCAACTTCAGTCAAGGGAAACAAGCGTTAGACTGCAGATGTCAAAAGTACTAATCGCGGAGGGACTCAGCTACAACTTACTGAGTGTCAGTCAGCTAATGGCGAAGGGGATTCACCTCGAAGCAGACAGCACCACCCAAGAATTCAAGCTGTATCACGGGAGAGGAGGACTCTACATCGGCAAGGCGGTCCTCAAGAACAACGTCTTCGTTCTTGATTTCGTTCCTGACCTTGGCACCGCCGACAGCGACGCCATCGTCAACTTCACCAACTGGACACACCCTCTAGACCTTGATCCAGACTTCAGTCCAGAAGGCTTCTGGTATTCACACACCATCCCTGAAGCAGAAAGAACAAGGGCGTTAGCAACAATTCAGACAACATCGGCAGCAGCAGAGACAACATCGGCAGCAGCAGAGACAACATCAGCAGCAGCAGAGACAACATCGGCAGCAGCAGAACCATCAACGGCAGCAGCAGGAACGTCAACACCAATCGCTGGTCCTTCAACGACACCGCTCCTCATCGACGACACACCACCAACACCCGCGCAACAACTACACCCAGCACCACGAGAAGTTCATCGTAGCGCCAACTTCACCGCCAACTTCTACTCCAACTCCGACATGTACCGACGATCACCCGGACATCGCGCCAACGAAAGCACCTGGCATGCAAGGATGGGACATCCAAGCAACACAGTATTAAACAATACAATAAGAGCAGGAGTACTCGACAAGGACTCACTCCTACTGACCGACGGACGAGAACTTCAACGAGTACGCGGAACGTGCTTCACCTGCCCTGAAGGTGACTTACCACATCGACCGTTCGCGCCTCATCACAACCCGAGCGCTCTTGCGTACGCACCACTCGAGAAGGTGTATAGCGACATCCTGTTCAATCGGGAACCAGGACAAGTAACATACAACTACACGATCACCTTCATTGACGCCGCCACCCGTTACGTCTGGCACCTAAACCTCCCTAGCCGCGACATGGCATTCGCAGCCTTTGTTGCCTGGCTACCAGTAGCAGAGAGAGAATCTGGCATGCAACTGAAAAGCTTCCAGTCAGACGGAGGAGGAGAATACACCTCTCAGCGATTCAAGCAGTACCTGGCGGAAAGGGGAATCGAGCAGCTCATCTCCCTTCCCTACGCCCATCAGCAGCAAGGTGTAGCAGAAAGAATGAACAAGACCCTGCAGAACAGCATGCGCAAACTGTTACGTGGCATGCGGCTACCCAACCACCAGTGGCCTGCAGCAATGGACCACGCTGTCATGCTGCACAACTTGTTGTCGTCATCATCGCTTCCAAACAACGCATCACCGCATCTGCTATGGACAGGGAAACAGGGCAGCACAAAAATGTTACGAGTTTTCGGATGCATGGTACAGTACCGACCCCCAGCAGCACGAGCGGGCCGATTTTCTCAACGAGCACAGTGGGGAGTACACCTGGGAATCAAAAACAACTACAACGCATGGAAAATCTTTGACGTCCACTCCAAGGAAACAGTAGAAGCACGTGACGTAATTTTCTACGAACGACTCACGCTCCAGACATACCTTGCCAACCTGCAAGAAGACGAAGATCCCACAGGTGGTTTTCGTGGTGACCGAGCCTTCGCCTCAGCAGAGGACGAAGCTGACTGGGAGGAGCAGAATGTGGACAACGCATCAGAAGAAGCCGGACCTCTCCCGTTCTGCTCCGTCGACGTTCCCATGGACGAAGACAACCCTCGCGAAAGTGCCAACGCCGAAACCTTCTACCATTTTGCCGACAACGGTTACGTAACACCTGCGACAGTCAACACCAACGAAGCAGAACGAATAGGACCGAACTTCATACCTGATCCAGAAGCGGGAGATGAAGCAGCTTATCCCGAGGACGTAAATCTTCCCCGCTACTCACAAAGTGGACTGCAGATTCTGAGGCTCGTCACCGCAATCCACGGCTCAGCCACTCCTAAAGAGCCTGCGACGGTTCAGCAGGCTCTGGGGGGGGAACATAAGGAAAAATGGCGCGAAGCCATGGACAAGGAACTAAAGGCACTGGAGGAACGCAACACGTGGAAGGTGGTTCCTATTGGCGTGGCACGGAACAAGACAGTGGTCACCGGGAAGTGGGTCTTTCGTGTGAAGACAAAGGCTGACGGCACCATCGACAAATTTAAGGCACGCTGGGTCGTACGCGGCTTCGACCAAGAGCACGGACGCGATCATCGAAACATTCGCTCCGGTCAGCCGACACACCTCTCTAAGCATTCTCCTCGCAATCGCCGCCATGAAGAAGAAGAAGCTACGACAAATCGACGTTGCAAACGCGTTTCTCTACGCATCTGTTGATGCAGAAATCTTCGTCGAGCTACCGGACGGCTCCCACACAGAACCCAACCAAGTCTGCCAGCTACTCAAGTCACTCTACGGCATCAAGCAGGCTCCGCGACTATGGCAATAGCACCTGCACGCTCGCCTCATCCGCATCGGCTTCAAGCAACTACCGCACGATCAAGGCATGTACCGGCTCACTAAAAACGACGACTACATCCTACTAATCGTCTACGTGGACGATCTCCTTTATATCGGCTCAACTGACGGCATCACCACCTGGTTCGAAGGGGAGCTGCAACGGGATCTCACGCTCACAATTTCATCTACCGTCACTCAGTACCTCGGCCTCAACATCCGGGAAGAGGAGGACGCGATCTACCTCAGCGCCGAGAAATATGCCGACACTATCGCCAAACGCTTCACGTTCACACCGACAGCCATCTCCACGCCATACCGATATACGGCAGGGAACGACAAAGGAAACTCCGCTCTACTTAAGCCCGCCGGCATACGAGACTACCAGAAGAAGCTGGGATGTCTTCTCTTCGCAGCCGTCACCTGTCGCCCCGACCTCTCATACTCCGCAAGCCAGCTCGCCACCTACCTCAAGAAGCCTGAAGTAGAACACCTGGCGGAGCTCGACCGCGCTCTACACTACTTCGTCAGCACCCCAACGATCGGCCTAACTTACTACAAGAACGCAACCACACCGACTAAGTTAATCGGCTACGTCGACGCTGATCACGCTGGCGACTCCGACAATAGGCGCTCCCGCACCGGCTACATCTACCGTCTCGAACCTATCGGACCTATCTCCTGGCAATCGAGCAAGCAGGAACTAATTGCTCTCTCGTCAGC